GTGAAGATCATATAGCGTAGCATGAAGTGCAAGTGAAGATCATGTAGCGTAGCATGAAGTGCAAGTGAAGATCGTATAGCGTAGCATGAAGTGCAAGTGAAGATCGTAGCATGAAGTGCAAGTGAAGATCATATAGCGTAGCATGAAGTGCAAGTGAAGATCATGTAGCGTAGCATGAAGTGCAAGTGAAGATCATGTAGCGTAGCATGAAGTGCAAGTGAAGATCATCTAGCGTAGCATGAAGTGCAAGTGAAGATCATCTAGCGTAGCATGACATATATGTGGAAGTGCAAGAGAACGTGCAGCAGCGTAGCATGACGTATGTGTGGAAGTGCGAGAGAACGTGCAGCAGCGTAGCATGACGTATGTGTGGAAGTGCAAGAGAACGTGCAGCAGCGTAGCATGACGTATGTGTGGAAGTGCAAGAGAACGTACTATGTGGTTGCAGTCGCAATGAACGTTAACATCCCACCCCACCCCACCCCAACTTCCTCAAAGGAGCACGACTACACGTACGGTTTTTGACCCGGTGGCATATACATGATATGTAAATATATATATATGTATATGTATATATATATGTATATATATATATATGTACATATATATATATGTATATATATGTATATATATATGTATATATATGTATATATATGTATATATATATGTATATATATGTATATGTATATTTATATGTATATGTATATATATATATATATGTATATGTATATATATATGTATATGTATATATATATATGTATATGAATATATATGTATATATATGCATATGTATATATGTATATGTATATATATATGTATATATATATATATCTATATTTGTTATCACAAATACATATAGCGAGCTACATGTCTCTCTGACTCTCTCTACATATATATATAGGTATTTTTGTATATATATATATGTATATTTACACATGTATAACCAAGGGAAGTTTAGTTAGAAAACTTCCGAGTTACGGACGACGGTCATGGTGAGCATTCACACCATCATGTCAACCACATCATCATGTGAACCACCCGTCATCAAGTAGTTGGGAAGTGTAGCAGTTCAGAAGCGCTTGAGTTCGCGGGGGAAAACATCCTCGGGCGCGAAACCCTGCGTTTTTTCGGGTAATGTGGCCCCTGGGAGCAGGGTCAGAGAAGAAGTAGCGCAGGTAAGAGGCTGCTCAGAGAAGAAGTAGCTGAGACAAGAGGTACCTCAGCGAAGAGGTCGCTCAGTGAAGCAGCAAAGCTCATCAAAGAAAATAGCTCACTCGTCCATCCATCCATTCATCCATGCATCCATTCGTTCGTTCATTCATTCATTGGTTGATCTGTCGACTCACTAACTACACTAGTTCATTTATCGTTTCACTGGTTCATCGATTCCCCTATACATTCCGTCATTGATTCACTGATTCCTTGATTCGTTGATTCATCGACTCACGAACTGATTCATTGATTCAATGATTCACTGAATCATTGGTTCATTGATTGACTGATTCATTGAGTCATCGGTTCACTAATTAAATCATTCATTGACTCACTCTTTATTGACTCATCCACTCATTAGTTCACTCACTCTTTGATCCATTCATTCATTCCAATCCATTCCATGCCATGACATTCCATTCCATTCCCTGCATTTCCTTCATTCAGTCCTCCATTCATTCATTCATTCATTCATTCATTCATTCATTCATTCATTCATTCATTCATTCCTTCATTCCTTCATTCCTTCATTCCTTCATTCCTTCATTCCTTCATTTCCTTCATTTCCTTCATTTCATTCATTTCATTCATTCATTCATTCATTCATTCCTTGATTCCTTCCTTCCTTCGTTCATTCATTCATTTCCTTCATTTCATTCATTTCCTTCATTTCTTTCATTCCTTCATTTCTTCATTCCTTGATTCCTTCCTTCCTTCGTTCCTTCCTTCCTTCCTTCATTCATTCATTCCATTCCGCTCCATTCCGTTTGATTTTCATATCATTCGTTTCGTTTCGTTTCATTTCATTTCATGTCATTTCATTTCATTCCATTTCATTTCATTTCATTTCACTCATTTCATTTCTTTTCATTCATTTCGTTCACTTCATTCAATTCATTCATCTCATTCATTTGGTTCGTTTCATTCGTTTGGTTCATGTCATTCATTTCATTCATTTTCATTTCATTTCTTTCATTTCATTTCATTCCATTTCATTTCATTTCATTTCGTTCATTCTTGTCATTCATTCATTTCATGCATTCGTTCATTCGTTCGTTCTTTCATTCATTCATTCATTCAGTCAGTCATTCATTCATTCATTCATTCAGTCATTCATTCATTCAGCCATTCATTCATTCATCCATCCATTCCTTCATTCATTCATTCATTCATACATTCATTATGCATACATCACGAAAGGTAGCGTCAGCTACCTGAGTTCTCCGTGCTTCAGCACAAGCTTAGGGGGTATTGGGGGGCCAGCCCACGGAATTCATGGAATTCTCGCCGTTATGTATTGGATATCAATTATAAGGGGGGGCCCCCCCCGCCCCCCCGAAAATGGTCATGGGTTCAATTCCCACGGGTGACGCGGTCACGGGCCCCCACATTAGAGGCACACTTTCCATGAGGGAGATGTCCCTGTAGTCCAGCATAATTGGTATGCTTCAGCCTCAATAACAGTGGCTGCAAGGGGTCTTAAAAAGGGGTTTTAAATAAACCCCTTTTCGTGCATCATTTCACGCTGCACAAGACACCGTATCATGCAGTCATGCTCTGGATAAAATCATCTTAGACTGCGCAAAAACGTTTTTGGTGTATCATCTTAGGGGCGCAGCATTTTGACACCACTCCTCTCCCACTACACTACCTTTCGTCCGCCTCCGCCTGCTCTCAAGTTCATTCATTCATTCGTTCGTTCGTTCATTCATTCATTCGCTTGTTCATTCATTCATTTGATTCATTCCTTTGTTCGTTCATTCATTCATTCGACCGTTGGTTCATTCATTCATTCGTTCCTTGGTTCGTTCATTCATTCATTTCATTCATTCATTCATTCATTCGTTCGTTCGTTCGTTCATTCATTCATTCATTCATTTCATTCATTTCATTCATTTCATTCATTTCATTCGTTTCATTCGTTTCATTCGTTTCATTCGTTTCATTCATTTCATTCATTTCATTCATTTCATTCATTTCATTCATTTCATTCATTTCATTCATTTCATTCATTTCATTCATTTCATTCACTTCATTCACTTAATTCATTTCATTCATTTCATTCATTTCATTCATTTCATTCATTTCATTCATTTCATTCATTTCATTCATTTCATTCATTTCATTCATTTCATTCATTTCATTCATGTCATTCATTTCATTCATGTCATTCATTTCATTCATTTCATTCATGTCATTCATTTCATTCATTTCATTCATTTCATTCATTTCATTCATTTCATTCATTTCATTCATTTCATTCATTTCATTCATTTCATTCATTTCATTCACTTCATTCATTTCATTCATTTCATTCATTTCATTCATTTCATTCATTTCATTCATTTCATTCATTTCATTCATTTCATTCATTTCATTCATTTCATTCATTTCATTCATTTCATTCATTTCATTCATTTCATTAATTTTTTCATTTCATTCATTTCATTCATTTCATTCATTTCATTCATTTCATTCATTTCATTCATTTCATTCATTTCATTCATTTTTTCATTTTTTCATTTCATTCATTTCATTCATTTTTTCATTTCATTCATTTCATTCATTTCATTCATTTTTTCATTTCATTCATTTCATTCATTTCATTCATTTCATTCATTTCATCCATTTCATCCATTTCATTCATTTCATTCATTTCATCCATTTCATCCATTTCATCCATTTCATCCATTTCATCCATTTCATCCATTTCATCCATTTCATCCATTTCATCCATTTCATCCATTTCATCCATTTCATTCATTTCATTCATTTCATTCATTTCATTCATTTCATTCATTTCATTCATTTCATTCGTTTCATTCATTTCATTCATTTCATTCATTTCATTCATTTCATTCATTTCATTCATTTCATTCATTTCATTCATTTCATTCATTTCATTCATTTCATTCATTTCATTCATTTCATTCATTTCATTCACTTCATTCACTTCATTCATTTCATTCATTTCATTCATTTCATTCATTTCATTCATTTCATTCATTTCATTCACTTCATTCATTTCATTCATTTCATTCATTTCATTCATTTCATTCATTTCATTCATTTCATTCATTTCATTCATTCTTGCACTGATTCACTGGTTCGCTGATTCATCGATTCACTAATTCACTCTGTCATTGGTCCAGTGACTCTTGATTCATTGTTTTAGTGGTTTATTGCTTCATTGAACCATGCATTCATTGAATTATCGATTCATTCCTTCATCGGTCCATCGAATGCATTGGTTCATTGATGCCCTGATTTACTGATTCATTGATTCATCGACTCATCATCCATTCGTTGACTCGCTGCTTCATTAGTTCACTGGTTCCTTGAAAACCAACACCAATTTATGGATCCGCTGAGTCATCCGTTCATTGATTGGTGCACCGATTCACTGAATCATTGACTCATTGAATTACAGGTTCATTGCTTCATTGATTCTTTGGTTCATTGATTCATCGACCCACTGGTTCATTCGTTCATTGATTTATTGATTCGTTGGTTCATTGGTTCGTTAAGTCAGTTGTGCATGGATTCTTTGATATCATTTCATTAGCATCTCATTCAATTTTTGCTCATTCGTTGATGCGCTTCACAACTTCGACAACTCATTGTTTCTGCATCGCAAAAACTTTCTTATAGGCCATTGATTTCTTGTAACCATTTTTTTCCGAAACTTCCGCCCCGGCATCGGCCGGGCTGTATCTGGTATACATAGATATAGCGACCATTTCAGTTTTCATCACTCTGTGGTCGCACCAGCTAAATGTGTATGTGAGGAGTCAAGTTTGGTGCCGGCGCAGCGGAAGCGGGGGAGCACAGATTCGACCTCCATGCCAGAGACAATGGTGAATAGCGGGGAAAACCTCAACTAGATTTATGATTTGCGGCACAACAAATCAGCACCGGGATTTGCTGCATAGTTATCTCTCCAGACTATTTTTCGCTGGTTGCAGGTCCATTGGTTCGTGTTTTTTTTGCTGACACACTGTGTCACTAGTTCATATGTTTCATGCATGTTGTACCTTTGGAGGATGCAGCGGCAGGATTGATCCCATCCCCGTGTGGCAGCACAGGTCCGTGAGTGCTGAAATGTCCCTTCGCTGCAAAATCAATCTCCCGGAATGTCCCAGAAATGGCTGGAGGGCTTTATAGAACCCCCGTGTTTGTTGGGTAAACCCATGGTTTTTTGCTTTCCCTTGAGCCAATCCATAGACTTTACCATCAATGCCGGTGCAGCTCAGGAATTGGGGCATCCGCTGTCAAGACAAGGCGGCTGCAGTGAAGATCCTTTTCGAGGCCAATCCCAAATCATCTTTTTTGCATGTCGCTGGCACGCGCGGTGCGTGGTGTGGTGATGTTGATGGGTAAACCCCCAAAATCCAATGGTTGATAATAATCATGTTTACCGTTTGAATGGCAATTGTGGGGTATACACCATTTTAAATGAATCATGTTCAAACACACACACACACACCCATACTGTATGTCAAAACGGCGCAACCTGTAAAATGGGTAGCTGTTCACAAAGAAACGTGTGAGTTCTTCTCAGGGTTCATTTTTGGGATGTAAACAGTAGCTTGAGGCCATGGTTCGTATTGACGATTGTTATAGCTGCTGGTTCTAATGCTAGACCCTTGTGGTTCTCCCCGTGTTGGTGATCACACTACAATGGTTGAGTTATATATAGTGTGAGACTGTTGGTGGCCTCGAATATCGTCTATATTCTGGCATGATGGTGCCAATTGACATGAATTCACAGAACCCATTTAAACCAGTTTTAGTTAATTAACTGTAGACCCCCTGTTGGTGATTATACATGATCAATGGTTGCGTATTATTATCATAGAACCCTTTGGCAAGAGCTTTCAACATTTTCATTTTTGCGGTACTCAGCCATATCAACTGGGTAGTATGGTCGATATCAACTTCCAAGCAACAGATTAGGGGTACACATTAGCTTAGCCCTTATGGCCAACAGCCCGAGATATTTTTGAACGATTGTTATATATAGGTATATATATATATGTGTGTATGTATATAGTGGTGAATATCATTCCTCTTTGGGAATATCATTCGTCTTATACATTATATATATGTAGGTATGATATGATATGATATGATATGATATGATATAGACATATATGTCCTCATGTTTGTTTTAGTGAATATAATTCCTCCTTGGCAATTGATGAAATACGACCAGCCACAAGGTGGCCAAACAGCTCAAGGATCGACTGGCAGTTTGTAAGCTGCGCCTGGGGACCTGAGGGACCTGTGGAACCAAGGGCTGGGGCCTATTTTGGGACATCCAAAAAACTTCGGATATGGGGACTATATTAAATATATATATATATATAAATATGTATATTTATAATATATATATAAATACATATTTATATATACATATATACATATATATATGTGTATATATATATATATATACGTATATATATATGCATGTATACATAGACCGTTGGATATTTATGAAAGTAGGACTAGACAAAAAACTCCGTTATGAAGATATGGGCTGTTTGAGGATTTGTGGAGCCAAATTTCAAGAATTTCGATTCGACCACTAAAAGTGAAAGGAATTTGAGCGGGAGCAATGATGAAAGATGGAGACTAATGGCCGGCAATGCTGGGGGTGTCATAAAACAAGCACCAAATGGTATCAAGTGTTCAGTTCTAACCGTTAAACCAATAACACTATACCACCCATTGTTGACGATCATGAAATGGGAGTTCTCTAAGACTGATGCATTCGGATGAAACCGTGACCTCGTTCCTCAGGAGATGTATTTTTCAGGGAAAATCTGGGGTAAGAACCATAGTTTCCTGTAGACTTCCCTGAAAACAAATCCAAGATGACTGACTCATCTGACTGACTAATCTGACTAATGTTCTTTGTGAGGGTTGCGACTTGTCAGCGGCAGGTGCCAATCACCTGACTTTAAAGCTGAAGATTGCGATCCCTGGCTGGGTGGTGGTCTTATCCATGTCCTTTAAATACTTGCCATGCCGTTCAAAGGGTTCGATCATCGCTGTTATGACATGTTATGACCCCGATCTTCATATTTTGTCGGGCTGACAGGATATGAACGGGATAGTAATATTGGAAACTGACCATCTTAATGGACTTTCATGGGATATACCGTGGATGTCCGGAGTAGCAATGGCACCATGGTCAGGTCGAGCCGATCAAAAAAGGTGGCCATGGCCAGTGCGATGACATCAGCCGGTCTGCCGCCTTGCCGAGTAGCGAAGCTGGTGAAGCTGGTGAAGCTCTACTGCAGATGGGCGGATGAAAACCCCCATGTATAGAACTGGATACATATATGATCATATATGTATGTAAATAGTATGTATAATATAGGAGGTAACAGTATATACGTATATATAATATGTATGATATAGGAGATACTTATATATAATTGTAATGTTTACAGTTATATATATATATTGTAAATAACATATAAAATAGAATTATATGTATATACCAATATAACATATAATTTTCATATAAACTCGATAATATATAGTAGATAATATTTCATTTTTCTTAGAACATGTATAATTTCTAAAAAGGAACATAACATCTAATGTAATATAATATATGATTTTATATTTGATATAAAATATATACAATATGTTTTAAACATAATACACACATTTAATGAATAGTATGTTGTATATTACATTCAATCAGTTTGTTTTTCCCCAAAAAAATAAAAACTATTATTTGTAATACATAAGATGTTTCATATTATTTATAGTATATTTGAAATAAGCCACTTAAATTTTCACCAAATGTAATAAAATAATAGAATTATTTATATACTGGATATTTATCATGTAGCGAATATTTAATGTATACATATTTAACATTATACATACTATCAAACATAATGTAATATATAATATAGTTCTTTTAATATGATATTTGAACATACAACTGAATACACTATAATTTAATTTGATTTGATTTAATACAATATCGTTAAATATAGTATAATATGATATATTTCAAAATACCGTAATATCATTTAATATTTAATACTTAAATTTAATACATATATATATAGAGATAGATATTAAATACGTGTAATATGATTTAACATGACATATTCATATACTATGATATTTAACCTTATATATATAATGTATACATATTTGTAATACAAAAATATATGAAATAAACAGCAGTTAATATGATGAAATAAAATATAGTTTAATAGAGTATATTTTTGTGTAATGTAATATAATATAATATAACTTAATATAGCTTAATATAACTTACAGTAGTATAACTTAATATTTGATATGATATAGGTTTTTACATTTATACAAACACACACCCTTCGGCTATACAATGTGACCTCGGAAGTCTCCGAACTAAATGGGGGATTTTTCATCAAGCCATGTTTGATTACCGGATATAGGGGAAACGAGGTTTTTAAAACATGACAGTTGGAGAAAAAATCCTAAATTTTCAAACAAACACAATTTTCATGGATGAAGATGTGACACATTTCCCATTCAGGATGTGTCTAGCCTAGTAGAGGCGAAATGCAGGGTGCCGTCAGGTGCCTGTTGGGCTGATCCACTACTCAGTGGCATTTATTGAAAGATAGTGAATGAAACATGGCCGAAGTCCTGTAATCTCATTGGTGAATCAAGACCACATCTTGTTATGGAGGCTCTAGTGACGACAACGTATTCCAGTTCTACTTTTGAAGGAAACCGATGAGCGCACCCTAGGACTTGGAATTGTTGCAGAGGACGGGAAAGGGTGCCAGATTCAAGACAGAAACACCACACTTCATGGGTTGTTACTCAGGCGTTCATCGCGACACCTCTGGTGATACACCTAGAAAATCATCCATTTGTTTTTCCCGAGAGCGCCTGCGAAGGGTTCTTCGTAAAAAAGCAGCCGTTATACTACATCTTCACATCTTCACATCTGCTGATCCCTCATACCTGCAGATCTACATCTTCACACCCTCATACCTGCAGATCTAGATCTTCACACCTTCACACCTGCAGATCTAGATCTTCACACCTTCACATCTGCTGATCTACATCTTCACACCTTCACACCTGCAGATCTACATCTTCACACCTTCACATCTGCAGATCTACATCTTCACATCTCACATCTGCTGATCTACATCTTCACACCCCCTGACACCTGCAGATCTAGATCTTCACACCTTCACACCTGCAGATCTAGATCTTCACACCTTCACATCTGCAGATCTAGATCTTCACACCCTCACATCTGCTGATCTACATCTTCACACCCCCTGACACCTGCAGATCTAGATCTTCACACCTTCACACCTGCAGATCTAGATCTTCACACCTTCACACCTGCAGATCTAGATCTTCACACCTTCACACCTGCAGATCTAGATCTTCACACCCTCACACCTGCAGATCTAGATCTTCACACCCCCACACCTGCAGATCTAGATCTTCACACACCTGCAGATCTAGATCTTCACACCCTCACACCTGCAGATCTAGATCTTCACACCTTCACATCTGCAGATCTAGATCTTCACACCCTCACACCTGCAGATCTAGATCTTCACACCCTCACATCTGCAGATCTCCTCTCGCTCTTCTTCTATTCTCTCTTAAGGCGGGGGCGGTGCCGCCGGAGCGCCACGAAACGCAACCCTTTCGCACGAAATGGACGTTGGACGTCCAAAACTGAGGAAAAATTGCGATTTTGAAGCGTCCCGCGCAACCCTTTCGCACGAAATGGACGTTGGACGTCAAAAACTGAAGAAAAATTGCGACTTTGAGGTGTCCCGCGCAACCCTTACGCACGAAATGGACGTTGGACGTCAAAAACTGAGGAAAAATTGCGACTTTGAAGCGTCCCGCGCAACCCTTTCGCACGAAATGGACGTTGGACGTCAAAAACTGAGGAAAAATTGCGATGGACGCTTTCGTTTCTGTACAAGTGTCTGTGTGTAAAAGCGTCTGTGTGTAAAAGCGTCTGTGTGTAAAAGCGTTAGTGTGTGAAAGCGTGTGTGCGTGTGTAAAAAGCATCTGCGTGTAAAAGCGTCTGTGTGTAAAAGCGTTTGTGTGTCAACGCGTCTGTGTGTAAAAGCGTTTGTGTGTGAAAGCGTGTGTGCGTGTGTAAAACGCATCTGCGTGTAGAAGCGTCTGTGTGTAAAAGCGTCTGTGTGTAAAAGCTTTTGTGTGTAAAAGTGTCTGTGTGTAAAAGCGTCTGTGTGTAAAAGCGTTGCGTCTGTGTGTAAAAGCGTCTGTGTGTAAAAGCGTTTGTGTGTAAAGGCTTTTGTGTGTCAAAGCGTCTGTGTGTCAAAGTGTGTTTGTGTAAAAGCACCATGTGTAAAAGCGTTTGTGTGTAAAAGCTTTTGTGTGTACTTTTACCGCACGACATGGAACTGTTAGAGATTGAGGGTGACAAATGCTTGCTAGTGTATCCGTGCTAGGACGTGCGGAGCTTGGTTCGTTTGGTGTGGTAATCTGTGTGGGAATTGATATGTTCATAGTGAGCTTCACTGTTCAGTTTGCATGTCTATGCGACAATGATGTTTGCTTGTCAAACGCAGGAGTCGTGGTCTCAGGCTTCGAAGAACACATTCTTTGCATTGAATTGTGCGAGTGTGTAGCAGGTTAGTGCATGAAGTTGTAGAAGTTACCAAGCTGTTGGGTTCGTTGTACCTTTGTGTATGTTTCCTTTGAGAACGGTGTGATGCATGTAATTTACAGCATCATGGTGTTCGACAATGATGCCCATCCCAAGTGTCAAACTCACGAATTGTGTTCTCAGTTTGGAAGTCCAGGATGATGCAAGATGAAACAAGGCATTGCGAGATGATGTAAGATGGTGTTGCCGAGCTTTGGTAAACTAGTTTTTTGTTGATGCGTTCAGCCTTCAGTTTGCAGGTCTCTGCGACAGTGGTTCTTTGTCATGTCAAACTCATGAGTGGTGTTCTCAGTTTGGAAGTCAGAGAGCACATGCTTTGCAGTGGATTGTGCAACTCTGCAGCGACAAGCATAGTTTACCTCTTTACCTCTTTCCTGGGCTCAGACGTGCATATTCTTATATGTACGCTGAATGTTCGTGAAACAAGTGACGATTGGCAAACGGGTATCTGTAACATTTGGAGCATGCGACCGCGTCATCCGCGTCGTCCGATGCCGTGGAACTTCGGATGCAGAGGCATTGCGAGATGATGCGAGATGATGCAAGATGTCAAATGTGTGTGGGAATTACCATAATAAAATGAGATAGCACATGTCATTCGCAGACTCATGGCACTGAGCCTCCTGTGCACTTTTGTTGCTCACATTACATTTCTTCATGTTTTCTTTCTACCCCCCCCCCTTTTTCTCTCTCTCTCTCTCTCTTGCTTTCTCTTTCTCTCTCTCTCTCTCTCTCTTTCTCTCTTCTCTCTCTCTCTCTCTTTATCTCTGCCCCCTCTTTCTCTCTGTGGTTGCAAGACACATGTCATCTGATGCCCTTTACCAAATATTCTCTTCTTGATCAATCTTACTTTTTCACACCATATCTTTCCATAGCTCATATAAAATTCACCAACTATTCACCGACTATCTTTTACGACTACCATCCTCAGAGCTGCTTGAAAAACATCTTTTTCGCTCTCGGGCCAACCGTCGTCTAGTTTTGGTTTCCAAACCTCTCCGAAACAAAAATGAACCAAATGGATCATCCATTCAAGTTCTGCCATCTTTGATCCGACTAAAAAAACGTTGCCACAGACCGCAGGTGTGCGCTCCAGCTCTATGACATGATTTCACCAGATCCTGTGGGATGCTGAAGTTTTTTGGCCATTGGCCAGTCTGACAGGTGGGGGAGTTGAGAAAATGCATGAAGATCCTCCAAATCCCATGGTTTGTCACCGTTTTTCCCCATGTTTTTCTATGGATATTCCAAGGTGCGGCTGAGAGGCCTAGGCTTGGCAGCGCGACTTGGAAGTTCAGGTGGGGTCCCAAAAACCGCCAGATTTCTGCGGGGAAAAATGGTGAACAAACGGGAAAACCATGGGGAAACATGGGGAAAATCATGGGGAAAATGAGGATCATGAATTGACATGGCGGTGTTGTTTTTTTGCTTGGTAATTGGATGTCATGAGCATATTTTCAGACAAAACATCTCAAGATGTGGTGAGATGAAGTTTCAAACTTTTGGAGTTGAGATTTCCAAAGATGTCGAGGTGCTGATGGAACCAATTCTCGTTGGGGCCTGAGAACTGTTGAACAGTGTGGGTTCATGGTCTTCTGGTCATGCCCAGGATAAAATAACCCCCAATTTACAGACGGGGGGGAAAACAACCCCAATGAATAATCAGGGTTTATCAATCTGGTGCCTAACATTGTGGTAAGCCGCCATCAGCAACTCTCATTTGGGGCTTGAAATGCCATAAACATCCCTAATCATGATGCCTTGGGGACTGGGTGAATCGACGCTGCAGAATCGTGATGAAAATCGTGACAGGAAGTCCTAAGAAGGCTTCAGCCGGCACTGCGGGGAGCGGCAGCATTGCGAGGTGCCGTTAAATGGCAATGGCTAAAGCACATGGGGGTGTTCTATTGCCAAAAACATCCTGAAACTGCATATTTAATTATTTTCAATTCTATACATTTATATGGTTTATATTTATCCATCTGTGAGAGTATAAATCCCTAAACTCCAAATCTGAATCTTTGATGTATTTCATCCTACACACTGGGAAATTAACTTAGTTGTGGAAAATCATCACAAATCATCCGCCGGCCATTTTCCATAGCTATGTTAAATAAGCAGAGGTTATATATCCCATTGAGATTCATGAAGTGGATTATAGTCCAATGAAATCCCATTAAATGTTAGATAACCAGTTGCTAATCATCCAACAAAATGGACCATTTTCAGGACATGGCTCCTGTCGCTTCAGGTGGCTTCGCAAAGCACCAGAGCTGGGGAAGCAAGAGCCAAGTAAGGCCGGGAGCTTGTCAGAGGGGCGAGGGGCTGTAGACGTACCCAGTGCATCCCAGTGCCAGTGTTTTAAGATGAGTTAATGTGATTTGTTTGAATATGTTTTGATATGATTTCATACTGATTTTTAGATGTATAATATATATATATACATAGATAGATAGATATAGATAGATCGATAGATAGATAGATAGATAATATATCTATATGTCTATTTACTGAAGCATGATGATACATACATGTGTGTGTGTGTGTGTCTACATCCAGATTTTTTCAGACTCTGGAAAACAACTCATCGGTTGCTCAACAGATACTGCAGACATGATCGGTTGCACGGACCATGCGGGATTTGAGGAGTCCACAAGTCTTCAAGAGGTAGCGGAGCCAGCAGAGCCAGCGGACGTGTGGCGCTCGAATTTTCGACAGTTGGATGTTTCCAATACCTTGGACCCAAGATTCACCGGTTGACGTCAGATGTGTAAAAATTCCTTTCCCAGAAATGGAGGGAAACATACTTACAGGAACGCCCTATTTTTTGAATGGTCAACAAATAGGTTTCGTGGTTTGGTCAGTTTTTCCCTCAAAAACCAATGGTTTTTTTGAGGGCGGAAACCAATGTCACGAGGTCGTAGACTTGGACGCGGAAAGTCAGGAGATTGGGGATTGACCACCCAACCGGAGCCCCCAGCTGGTGATTGGCAACTTGAGCTACATCTCATATGGAGGCATGGAGGTATGCTAAAATAGGGGTAGTGATAGTGTGTACCCCCAAATCATCCATTTCTAGCTGGTGTACCCCCAAATCATCCATTTTTGTTAGGATTTTCCATTGTAAACATCCATTTTCATGGGATTTTCCATTGTAAACATTTGTAAACCATCCATTTTTTTGTCAGCCATATCTATCCAGGACTCTCTATCCTGGCTGCTCCTCTGCTGCCAGGAGATTGGCGGCCAAGTGCCTTGTCCTGTTTGTGGACGGCAGATTTTTTCAGCCTGCCACTGAGATGAGCGCTCTGAGTCACTAGAAATTGGTGCAACATTTATAACTTGGTGCAATTTATGTGCAATAACTGAGTCAGTTGATATATAAGATTAGATTGAACGCGCAATGGCGGAAATTTTCACATCAGCCACTCAGCCACTCAGCCACTCTGGCAGAGTGGCTGACGCAGCCACTCATCCACTCAGCCACTCTGAGTGACTGAGTGGCTGAGTGGCTGCTCCAGCCACTCTGGCAGAGTGACTGAGTGGCTGAGTGGCTGCTCCAGCCACTCTGGCAGAGTGACTGAGTGGCTGAGTGGCTGAGTGGCTGCTCCAGCCACTCTGGCAGAGTGACTGAGTGGCTGAGTGGCTGCGTCAGCCACTCTGGCAGAGTGGCTGAGTGGCTGAGTGGCTGCTCCAGCCACTCTGGCGGAGTGGCTGAGTGGCTGCTCCTCCAGCCTCTCCGGCAGAGTGGCTGAGTGGCTGCGTCGGCCACTCTGGCAGAGTGGCTGAGTGGCTGCTCCAGCCACTCTGGCAGAGTGGCTGAGTGGCTGCTCAGCCACTCTGGCACAGCGGCTGAGTGGCTGAGTGGCTGCGGCAGAGTCATCAATCAATGAAATGGACGGATAAAGTTTTAAACATTTCAATATCCAAGCAAGAGTATATATATATATATATGACATTGACAGCAACTTGATTTACAAACATAACCCTGTAAACTTCAACTGCCATAGCTACATAACTTCAACGGATTGATTAAGAACAGCCACATATACACTTTGAACCATAACCTGAAATCACTTAAAAAGAAAGATAGTGGTGATGAACTCTACAAGTTCAGGATTGGAAACAACTATTACAACGACTATTTGGTGAGCAAAGAATGGCTATGGTGTGCTGTAACCAGAGCAACAGATTTCAATACTGTATATTTTTTCAATAATGATAAAGCCGACGAAGATATGTTTAAGAATTTGGTAGTTAACTATTTTAAAAACAAGGTTGACGGTCACTAAGGACAAGACAGAAAAGGAGGAAGATAAATAGTTGATGAATACATTGATGAACATGTTTGAAGGTGTTCAAGGGTTGTTGTGCAAAGTGTGGAGTTAACTTTACTCTTGATACCAGAGGTGGCAAATTACAAGTAACTTTACGGTGCAGAGAGGTGATAATGGACTGTGCCATTCTATTGACAACAGCGAGGCTTATTGTTGCCACTGCACTTCTTCTTCACATTAGTTTTTTTCAAAATGATAAATTTAATAAAATATTGGTATGAGTAAGCAAAAAATCATAGGAAACCTATATTTTTATAAAGCAGGGTTTGGTTCCAAAAACACTACTTTGAAGGATGCAAGAGAGAAAGACAAATCTATTACTATGAAAGATGTTGAAGATTTTTTCAAAAAGAGTGTAGAGATAAAAATGAACCCGAGAGGCTATAACAGCTTTGTTGTTCCACATAACAATCATAGATACCAAGTTGATATATTCTTTATTTCCAAAAAAGATTTAAAGGTAAAACAAAGATACAGAGCTGGATTAGTTTGTATTGATTGTTTGAGTAAGTATGCTGTCGTAGTCCCAGTAAGAAGGAAAGAGACAGGCAGTGTTATTCAAGGAACAAAGAAAGCGATAGAGAAGATGGGCAAGAAACCTGAAATCATATACACCGACGACGAGAAAGCTATAGCAAGTGGTGAATTCCAAGCATATGTAGAAAGCGAAGGCCGAATTGTATAGGACAAGAGGCCACCCTGCTTTTGCCGAGCGTTTTTTAAAACTTTTAAAGACAAATTATGCAAAAGAGTTGAGAACGATGAACAGAATAAAAAAACGAATATACAATGGATAGACTACATAGATGAAATTGTGTTAACTTACAATAATAAAGATGTGCATTCCGCTACTGGTCAAACACCGTATAAAGCCAGAGATACAGACAATGAATTCAAGTCAAGATTAAACATTGCAATGAAAGCAAAGAAACAGAGGCTCTATCCTGAACTATCTGTGGGAGACAAAGTAAAAATCAAAAGGAAGAAAGCAACAACGGAGAAGGAGAGAACCTCACACTTTTTGAAAGGTGAGTATACCGTAGAGTCCATTGATGAAAAATTGAATCGAACATATTGTACATTAGAAGGATACAATAGACCACTATTGAGGCATGAATTGCTGAACATACAAATTGCCATTTATAGGAAATCTACTTAAAGGAATATTATATCATATTATATCTATATCTATCTATCTATCTATTTATATATATATATGTATATATTAGCGAAATGTCATTCAGTGATACAAGTAGTGAACGTGAAATCAACCAAGAAGAATAAATCAAACAAAAAATCTTAAGCTGTAAATGTAGTGAATATGCAACAATAAAATGAATTATCAAAAATAATTTTACCGATGGTATTGGTAATAAAATTTGTGAATATGTAGCCTGTAAAAGTTGCTCAAATATAATGAGTCATTTTGATTCAATTGAAATTGATATTAACCCTTGTGACGATGATGATATTGATGAACAAATTCAAATATACGTTTATAATACTTTAGTGAATGAAATTCCAGATGATAAAATGAATTTAGTATTAAATGAAAAAGAAATGAGACATTATCAAGATTGTGGACAAGTATTGAAAAATGTTGTAACAATTCATATTCTACAGTTGCATTCTGCATGTTAGAAATGAATATTAATGATGCTGATTGTATGGATGATAACTTTAATCATGAAACCTTTTATAGATTGCTTCAGAAAAATATTGTTGCATATCAAAGACAATGAACAGTTTATTGGAAATACAATTATTAACGAGAATAAGTTTGACAAAGTGTGTGAAAGAATACAACAAGGAATTTATATTTGAACCCCATAAATGTTCATATCAGATAATATGTTTTTTTTTTTTATGGCATAAGGAAATACACTTAAAATTGAAAGGATAATACCTTATAATAGTATGGAGAGTAGAACGTGCACAAAGTGTAAGAAAAACAAAAATGGTGACGAGTTCAGACAAAAGGAGAGTAACAAAGTATATAATCAAAAGGACGTATTCTGCGACATTTGCCAACGGAATGTGAAACAATGCAGGTTGTCCAAACATCTTAAAACCGACAGGCATTCCAGCAAGGGAAAACTCAAAAAGGAAGAAGAGAAAAAACAAAAATATATGGAGGAATACTTAAAACATGATGAAGCCAGAATTGCAAAATTGAAACAAATCTGGAAAACCATTACACCAAAAAACTTTAAAAGACTTTATAACCCCATATTTTTTCATATCATAATATATGAACATTTATGATTCGAACATAGGAATGTTAGACGTGGATGATTTAGATTTATGATATTGTTTTATAATAATATATTATGATAAAATATTATGATGAAACTTTATGATGAAATTATGTGACGATGGATGATGATGAAATGATGTGGGATGATGATGTATGAAATTATGTGGTTTTATTTTGTGTTGATACTGTGATGAAATGATATGAACTACTGTTGTGAAAATGAACTGTGGTAAATGATGAAATGATGGAGGTGGATGATATGACCTTAGGTGTGTTTGTGTCTAGCTATATCTGTATATATATATATAATTTCTTTAATAACATACATATATGAAAACATTGGAACTATAACCAAATGTCTCATTCCTTTCGCCATGATGATCCGCAGGGACCCACAGAGCGAACCCCTTTAACACAAATGATTAATGACTTCTTTCTCACAACCCTTTAACACAGATGTTTGCCTGTTTGCCTAAGATTCCATTCAACCCATAAGAATATATGCCCCAATGCCTGGATGAATAAAGGAAGGGGCCCTAAATTAGCATAAAACCTCACTTGAGATACTACCCAGACCTGAGAAAAATTAGGTCTGGGTAATATTGCTTACACTCCAATGGCTCTCCAGCCACTCAGCCACTCAGTCACTCAGAGTGGCTGAGTGGCTGAGTGGCTGCGTCAGCCCCTCTGCCAGAATGGCTGAGTGGCGAGTGGATGCGGCGAGTGGCTGGAGCAGCCACTCAGCCACTCAGCCACTCTGAATGAGAGTGGCTGAGTGGCTGCTCCAGCCAATCTGCCGCAGCCACTCAGCCGCTCAGCCGCTCTGCCAGAGTGGCTAGGCCAGCCACTCAGCCACTCAGCCGCTCTGGTAAGAGTGGCTGGACCAGCCACTCAGCCACTCAGCCGTGTTGCACATCCACTCTAAGATTATTATAAAACTATAAAGGTATAATATACATGTGAAATTGCACCATGATATTTTGGAAAACATGGGAAGGTCTCAAATATAAGTGCTCCATGAACGGGTGATCGTAGCGATTCTTGTTGCGACCACTGATGGTTCACCAACAGAAGATTAAGGCCAATGCCGATGCGCATGTGAATAGCCACTTCGACCAAAGTCAAGCTGTGGCATACTCGGCTCGTGCAGTCGGTTTGGCGCAGAATGAGTGAAAGCATCCTTCGACAATCTAACATAATCTAACATAGCTATAGAATGTTATAGAAAATGGCCCATATACAATGTATACAGATGATTGATCTATACCCTCTGGTAATTTAACATAGCTATTGAAAATGGCCATAGAAATAGTGGATTTTCCCATTAAAAATGGTGATTTTCCATATGTTAGTTTACCAGAGGGTATTAAAAACTGAAGTTCAGAGATTCCGCAGTGATTTCGAGGTTCAACCCGTTCCCAGAAAAAGACTGCGCTTCTCCGAGCAAGGTGTTGGACTCGGTGACGCAGTGGGTTCCACGGTGGTATTTTGATGATTTTTCCCCAAACAGTGCGGCCACACTGAGGAGTTCTTACGGTAACAGTTAAGGGCAGGTGTTCAATCGAGGTGGTATCGGAAGCGTCCGGCATTTTCCCTGTCAATTTCCACAGAAAATTGCGCAGGGTCGCACGACATGGGTGTCGTGGCACTGGGGTCCTGCATTTTCCCGTCTATACTGGCTCTTGTGACATGTCCTTGTGTCTTTCGACTGCCACAAGACCTGTTTTAGGGAGCTTGCACAGAGATGTTGCCAAGAAACCTCTAATGGAGATCTTGTTCGGAGATCTTTCCAAGAGACCTCTTGAAGAGATCTGTGCAGAGAGAGCTCTTATACAGAACGTGTACAGAGATCTTGCCAGGAGACCTCTGTGGCAGATCTTGTACAGAGACCTGGTGAAGAGAGCAGAGATCTTGCTCAAAGATCTAGTCTAGAGAGCTTGACTAGAGATCTTACTTTGAGATCCCTCACAGAGATCATTTATGGAGATTTTGTAAAGACACCTTGTACAGACAGCCTTACACAGGGATCTTGTACAGCAGCTTGTCTAGAGAGCTTGACTAGAGATCTGACTTTGAGATGCCTCACCGAGATCTTTGGTGGAGATCTCTTATAGACACCTTGTACAGATAGCCCTACACAGGGGTCTGGAACAGCAGCTTCTACACAGAACCTGTCCAGGAGATTTAGTGCACAATCGTCTACAGAGCTGTTCACAAAGGGAACTTGCATTATCATCATCATCCTCACCATCATCTTCATCCTCATCATCATCCTCATCATCATCATCATCATCATCATCATCACCATCACCATCACCATCCTCATCCTCATCCTCATCCTAATCCTCATCCTCATCCTCGCCATCATCATCAACATCAACATCATCATCAACATTAACATCATCATCAGCATTACAACACATTACCCTTTTACTTCCCCCCACACTGTTTGAGGTCTCTTGCCGGGATAATTGATGTATAGTGTTTTGAATAGACGAAAAACTTCAGTAGGGGGCCAGGAACCCATAACTGTCTGTCCTGGCCAAGAAGACCAGACAGCATGGGAGTGTAAACGTACCTGCAGCTTTGATTCTGGTTTTTCGAAATGGCAAGGGGCTAAGCCGAGAACCCCAATGCAGATTTTTTTCATGGACATGGCGAAGGGCTAAGCCGAGAACCCTACTGCGACTACTTATTTGGGCTTATTTGGACTTTTTGGATCAGTTTCCCAAGATTGTCTCGGTTCTGCACGGTTTCCATACCTGCTATTCAGATCTACTTTAGGTCGTTGTTTCAAATCCAATTGCATGTGAGGGGATTCAGTTCCCAACGGACCACTTCAATGATCCATTTCTTGTCTAGTGTGATTTCCATGGTTTCCCCGACATGGTGCCATGGACCCAATTGAGGGAACCCTGTTTAGGGTGAATGCTGACTGACCGGATTTCCGAATTTTCCATGGTTTCCCCGACATGGTGCCATGGACCCAATTGAGGGAACCCTGTTTAGGGTGAATGCTGACTGACCGGATTTCCGAATTGACATTTTTTACCTAGTAATTCGTTTAAGTAAAGCGATACAGCCGGCCTTTCTGTTCTTCACCATTTTGTGCAGTCCCGCGGCTCCGGCTGTCCTTCTGATCCTTGTACAAGTTCTACTCTCTCGCAGTGATGTCTCGCCGAACTACCAGAAAATTTCCATTTTTACCGATGATCAAGCGTTTGAAACAATTCGCAACAGCAGAGGCAGGTACATGTCTTCCAGGTTTGGTGATTCTTCCATTTGATGGTTGTCTGGTGTGGTTGAACATATTGTGCACCTAATTCGTTGGAACTTGAACAGCCGTTTATGCCCATGTGGCTTGATCGACCACGGTCCCGCTTTGGGAATAACGCGCGATTACTTAGGAGTGAGCTGAGTCCCCTTAATGACAATTTGTTGTTTCCCTTTTCGTCACCAACTAGTCCCCCATTCGGTCCCTAATTTCTCCCCCGTGCCCCTCTGTAATGAGTTGTGGGGTTTAGGTGTGTGTGTGTGTGTTCTGTGCTGGTGAGGTCCGTTTCGCCGTGTAGGTTGGTTCTGGAGGTCCATTTGTTCCCTTCCCCCCTGCGCTGTTTTGGCCTTCTGCCCGTCGTTTGTGTCCGCCTTTTCTGTTCCTCTTGCCTTTCGAGGTTGACCCGGCTCCGGCCGGGTGTGCGTGTGTGTGTTTGTGTGTGTGTGTGTGGGTGCGTGCGTGCGTGCGTGCGTGCGTGCGTGCGTGCGTGCGTGCGTGCGTGCGTGCGTGCGTGCGCGCGCGCGGGCGTGCCTGCGTGGGTGGGTGTGTGTGTGTGTGACTGTGTGTGTGTGCGTGTGTGTGTGTGTGTGTGTAGCGTCTGAATAGACGAAAAACTTCAGTAGGGGGCCAGGAACCCATGACTGTCTGTCCTGGCCAAGAAGACCAGACAGCATGGGGGTGTAAACGTACCTGCAGCTTTGATTCTGGTTTTTCGAAATGGCAAGGGGCTAAGCCTGGAACCCCAATGCAGATTTTTTCATGGACATGGCGAAGGGCTAAGCCGAGAACCCTACTGCGACTACTTATTTGGGCTTATTTGGACTTTTTGGATCAGTTTCCCAAGATTGTCTCGGTTCTGCACGGTTTCCGTACCTGCTATTCAGATCTACTTTAGGTCGTTGTTTCAAATCCAATTGCATGTGACGGGATTCAGTTCCCAACGGATCACTTCAATGATCCATTTCTTGTCTAGTGTGTGTGTGTGTGTTAGTTTTTTCCTATTTAGGGTGCATCATTCCAATTATACTATATAGAATGGTCTCGCTCAATCACTAATCACTTCTTAGTTATTTTACAGTACATCATATCATGTGGTAAACCCAGCAATAGCCCTCCAACTTTTGATGATTTACAACAGTCATTTCCAGTACAAAGTTGGCGAATTTCTCCTCGGGTTTACCACATTACCTATTGTCAAGTCCTGCTTGATGGGCCATGACGTTTTCACCAGTCGTCGCAGGTGCAAGACCTGCCGATTCGGATGAGTAGCTACCTCAGTGATCTCAACCTGTGTAGCCCTGGATTTCTGTGCCCGAATTGGTCGGAAAATGGGACCTCCTGAATGGCCATTTTCATTGGAACATGATGCTTGACCAAAGTCACCCTTCACCCCATTTTGCGACAAAACCATCTAATTTCGCCCGTAGAGAAACCTTGGTTGATTAGGTCTGATGCTGATGATTGTTCAATACTTTGCAAACACTATGCAGATACCAGGTCCATTTTCTCCCTTGTTGTGCTGAGGTGCGTGATTATCCTTTGATGTTTAGGCTTATGATGCGACCTAAAAATTGTACATAGCTGAGTAGTTGGGTTGCATCGCAGAATCAAAGACGGAATAACTGCAGCAGCAGCGTGCAGAAAAAGTGTGGCAGGGGACTCACATTGCATACCTCTGAGATGCCACAGCTATGGATCGAAACCTTGGTACTGGTACAGGTAACCTGC